CTTTTTTTTCCATATTTATCGAAAAACCAAAAGACCCAAAGAAAAGAGTTCAGCATTAATTAGTGGCAGACAAGTTCATTAATATCCCACTTTTTTTTTGAAATTTTGAAATTTGAAGTTGATATAGGTGGGAAAAGAATTTAACATCTTTTAGTGGGAGACAACTGTATTAAATTTTCTCTATTTTCTACATGGAAATTGTTAACCCTCATTTTAAAAAACATTTAATTTTTTTTCATATTTATCGAAAAATAAAAAGACCAAAAGAAAAGAGTTCATCATTAATTACGCTTTTATACGAGATATAGAATTTAAAATCACAGATGAATGAAAAATATTTTATTTTAATTCTAAATTTAAAATATTTAAACTAAATAGTTAGTACGAAAAGAGTTTAGCATTAATTAGTGGGAAACAAGTTTATTAATATCCTACTTCTTTTTTAAATTTCAAAATTTAAAGTTGATATAGGTGCGAAAAATGGTTTAACATCTTTTAGCAGGAGACAACTGTATTAAATTTTCATCTATTATATACTTAAAAGGAGAACCAAAAAAACTGATGTGTCAAGCTCTCGTGCAGTTTCAGCTTTGTGTTCACACTTGCATGTCAATTTAAAAAAGAATTACATAATAAGTTTTTAATTAAATCAAAAATCGTAATTAAAAAATTAGTGGGAGACATCTAATTAATGACTCACTATCATTTTTACGTTGGAAATGTAAGGTTTTTAATTGTTGCATTGGAAGATGGAAGGTTATTTACTAATGTTACTTAAAAATGGAAAACTCATCATTTGATATTTCTTATAGCCTTCAAATCATTCAGACGCTTAATCTTCTATCTCCTGTGTGTTCTCACTTGCTTGCTAATTTTGAAAATAAATAAATAACTAAAAATTAAGTTTAAGTAAATTAAATTTCAAAATTAAAGTGTTAGTGGCTGACATCAAATTAATGTCCCAATATCATTTCTATATTGGAATTATAAGGTTTTTAATTATTCTGTTGGAAGGTGAAAGGTCATTACCAATGTTACTTGAAAATGGAAAACTCATCATTTCATGCAGAATATACACAACCTTCTATGCATGTTTCCCACTACTTTTAGTATGGAAATTTGTTAAATCTATTAATAATATTTGTTATTATGTCTATTAGGTGGAAAAATATCTAATATTTCAAAATTCAAACTTTTTAAATTTGGATTTTTAACTTGATAGGTGGAAAAAGAATTCCGCATTAATGTTTCTGTAGTGGAAAAAAAAATATATAATAAAATTAAATTTAATATGTTAAATTATAGAATAAAAAAATAATTTAAAATTTATAAAAAAAATATGTATAGTTGATAAAAAATAATTTAAATTTGAAATTTAAATGAAAAAATTAGAAATGACATATTTATACCTTAAAGAAATTAAAAATTTAACTTTAAAAAGTAATACAAAAAGAGAAAGACATTTTCACACAAGTATTTTTTACCTTAAATGTTTTAAATATATATGTATAACGAATATTAAAAAATATAAAAATTATAAATTAAGCGATAAAAAAATTAATTTTTTCAAAAATATGTCTAATTTAAAAAATATAGTTGATACAAAATTAATTTAAAATTTAAGTTTAAATAAAAAAATAAGAAATTATGCATTTATACTTTAAAAGAAAATTTATTAAAATTTTAACTTAAAAAGGTAATACAAAAAGAGAAAAAAAAATAATTCGTACAAGTATTTTTTTAAAAAAAATATTTAACATAAAAATTTTAAATATACATGTATAACAAATTTAAAAAAAGGGTTAAAAATCATAAATTAATAAAAAAAATATTTAACATAAAAATTTTAAATATACATGTATAACAAATTTAAAAAAAGGGTTAAAAATCATAAATTAAAAGAGAAAAAAATTATATAAAAAATGTATATTAATGCAAAAGAATTAAATTTAAAATGAGGAAAAAAAATTAGTGGATAAATATAAAAACCTAGACACAGCTATAAGAGCTTTTTTTTGTGAGTATATATAAAAACCTATTGCATGCTAATAGTTAGAGGTGACAAATTATGCTCGGTCCGGAAGACCGGCCACCAACACATTCTTATAATTAAATTAAAATTTTATTATTCTTTTTTTATAAATAAATTCATAATTCAGATTTCAATTTTTGTAAATACAAATTTGTAAAATTCAAAATACTAATGACACAAATCCTTGCAAAAAAATAATTATTTACTTAAAATGTTGATAGTTAAAAGTTGCAAACTGGGCTTGGCCAAGAGGGCCTGCCCGCCCCGCCTGCCAACACGTTTTAATAATTAAATTAAAATTCCACTATTCTTCTATTATAATCAAATTCCTAATTCATATTTTAATTTTTGTAAATACAAATTTTTAAAATTCCAAATACTAACGAAAAAAATCCTTACAAAAAAGAATTATTTATTATTATTTTGTAAATCTAATTGTAATAAATGAAAGTTCATCTCTGAGATAAAATATAAAATCCTAGACGCAATTATAAGAGCTTTTTTTTGAAAATAAATATAAAGACCTATTACATGTTAATAGTTAGAGGTGGCAAACTGGGCTCGGCCCGGAGGACCGGCCCACCTACACTTTTTTATAATTAAATTAAAATGTCATCATCCTTCTTCTTTTATAATTATATTAAAACTTAATTTCATCCAATATTTTTTTGTAATTAAATTAAAATTTTGCTCTTCTTCTTTTATATTAAGCATAATAACTCAAAAATTAACCTCCAAGGGTAGCTCAGTTGGCAACTGAGCTCCCAAGGGTTTGCTTGAGTCAGGGGTTCAAACCTTGCCTCAAGCAAATTCTTGAAAAATCTTTGGGGGCCAGAGGATGTGCCTCCCTCCTCGATTGGGGGATTAGTCTCATCCTTCCTCCGGTAGCGAAGCTCAATGCACCCGTTGTTCCAATGAGGGGGCTAGCCTACTGGGTCGTACCCCGAGGGCAAGGTGACCGGAGGAGGTTGAATGGGGATACCTCCAAGTTATACCAAAAAAAAAAAAATAGCTCAAAAATTTGCCAGCTCTATATGTACAAAAAGTTGGAGTTAGTTAATTTTTATGATTTAAATAAAATGCAAAAATATATTTTTATGATTTGCATTAACTTTTACGAGACAGGCAAACAGATTTTTTTTTCGTGCATCGCACGAGTTATACTTAATTTTAAAGGAGTTTTTTTTATGTAGGGTGCTGATTTGGAACATTATCCAAGAGAACTTAATGTTCTTAATGGAAAAATCCATGTTATTTAAGGTAAACGTAAAAAAAACAATTTGGAGTCATATAATGAGCCAAGATATCATATAAGGGTTTTATAATTCTCATGTTGAATGAGAATTGAAATCTTATGTTGTAGAGATAAAAAGCATGTGAGACTCATGTGTTAAAAAAAATTATATGTAGACCCATGTCAGCAAGGAAATCGAAGGGTGTGTAGGAAAATTTGAATTCTCATGTTGAATGAGAATTATAAAACCCATCATATAATTATCATTGTGGGTTCTTTATATTGTTACAAGTTTTTAGCATGTGTATTGATTTGATACTGTTTAGACACATTTGTTCCAATGTAAGCAAAAAATATGACTCATACATGACTATTTGGTTAATTTGCTTTCAAATCACTTTCAGACAACGTTTTTTGGATTCTAAAAAAAAATAACCCATTTTTTTAGACTATTACTTCTGGGTGTTAACATATTAGCGTAATTTATTTAATGAGCATTTGCATTTTGTATCGTAGGCATAAATACGATGGTAAAAGAGGATGTCCCTGGTAATACATAAACATATGAAATCACATGTTTGGTATGTGTTGAACTCGTCCCTCCAATGATTGCTACATAATGACACTGAATTAATAGCGTTTTCTTATTATAGGTACAAGCTGATCTTTTATAAAATATTTGTTTGGTGTGTTTGTTACCTTGATTTTATTGGTAGCTGTTATAGTTAGCAATAAGTTGTAAGCATTTTTTCTTTTTTTAGCCATCCTCATTTTAACATAGTCTACTATAGCGTATTTGTTTTTTACATAACTCATCGAGTAGATAACTATATTTGATTTGCATAATATTGATCACTCTATATAGCAGATTTTTGTTTATGGTTGATATTTGTAAAGTCTGTGTTAATGCTGTAGTTTTTTTCACCTTAAATATAGAACAAGATAGCAACACAAGTTTTTGTAAGTATAAGATTTGTAGTGTGATTAACCAACCACGACGGACGACAAATATTTTGATCTTTTTCCTCCGTGCATCGCACAGATAATACACTAGTTAATCTATAAATGAGAAAACCTTAATATCTTATTATTGAATGTACCTATTCGTCCATAACAATTAAATCCAAAGATTTCGAATTAAATCTTTATTGATCTACTATACTAGGTCTTTTTAAGATTGCTGGGCTCCACACTTTTAAATATATCTCTATTGGAAGCTGGGTTAATTGGTGCTGCGAGGGTTTAATCGTGTAATGAACGTGCAATATCCGTGCGATGTACGGAGAAAAAATATCAAAATTTTTGTTAGCATATATCGTTGATTAATCGTTAAAAGAAAGAATTGTGTCAGTATTTTATATTATCTTTGATAATTATTCATAAAAAAAACTACCTCATAAAGAAGGATTTTATTTTCTTGTGTTATTATAAATAAATATTTTTTATTATAAATACATGATATAATAAAGTTTACCACCAATTAAAAAAAAAAAGTAATGGCATAATTTTCAAGAAAAGCACACCAGAATAGTAGAATTTTTTTTTGAAGTGCGAGTATAAAATCCAATTTTCGATGTAAAAATAATATAAAATAAGTTTCTTTTATATAAAATAAGAGAATGATTTCGAATAAAAAAAAATGTGAAATGAAATGTATTTGGACAGTTGAAATTCAGTACAAAGAGAGGCTTGCAAGATTTAACACCAATTTCCTTGAATTCAGATTCAGTTTCCAAATTCCAATCCTCTTTCACGTATACTCACTTCCTCAGAGCAATGCCAATGGCCACTGCGGAATCCTCCAACGACCAAATCCAATCTCTTCCGCTTATCGACCTCCGCCTCCTCTCTCAATCCGAACTCTACACTCTCTCCCTTTCCGCCGCCACTCACCTCCACCGCCGCTCCGACGACGATTCCGTTATCCCCAAAATTGACCGTTCCGTCTTCAACGAATCCGCCGGTAGCCGCAAGCAGACCTTCTCTCGTCTCCGCCTCGCTCCTCGTAACAAACAAAACTCCTCCGTTCCTGCTTCCTCTTCCTTTCACATTCCCCTCCGCATTCCCGAGCCCGTGGACGAAGAAAACTCCCAAATTATCGCTTTGCTCCAACAACTCTTCGGCGTCGAGTCTCTTCGCAACGCGAAACGCCACGACGACGATGACCGCCTTGTTCCCGTTCAGGTTGAATTTAAACAACCGTCTCCTGAATCCGCGGTCTTCCCCTACCAGAACATTCCGATCGACGTCGTCAACAGCGATCAGAGGAAGCGGAAGCGCGGGCGGCCACGGAAGAAAGAGAATTCGGAAACGCTTTTGGAAGAAGAGCCAAGGAAGGTAGACGAGGACGGTGACGGAGATGGGAAGGCTGTTGCAATGGTTAACGAGAGGGGTTTTGTGGCGGATGCTGTTCGGTTGGCGGATTCTGGCGATCCGTTTGGGGAGGAGTTGAAGAGGAGGACCCAAGGGTTGGAGACAGAGTCGCAGTTGTTGGAATTCTTGGAGAGTTTGAATGGAGAGTGGGGGAGTCAGAGAAAGAAGAGGAGGATTATACAGGCAAGTTATCTTGGTGATTTGTTGCCTACAGGGTGGAAAATCGTGCTTTGTCTTATGAGGAGAGCAGGTCGCGCATCCGTAGTTTGTCGCCGTTACGTAAGGTTTTCTCATTACTCCTTTCGATATGACCTCTAATTGCTTGGAATTATCGTATGCTGGCTTTAATTTATCCTTTAAATTCAATGACTGAAGACTTTAAAGAAACGCATTTGCATTTTCGTTCTAGCTTCTTGTTTTGTATATGCTTGAGAACCGGGAAGAGTTGTGCAATGCTTCTATGTATCAAGGATAGGGGGATAAGAATTAGTAGGTTTATATACTTCAGCTTTAACTTCACATACTATGAGAGATGATTGCTACATCTTTCAAACTCAGATGGGTCTAACTTATAAATTTGTCTAGGTTTGGGAGTGAAAGATTGCGCAAATATCTTTTCTCTGATTTTTTATGTAACTCATGATATGTTTCCATGCACATATGCTATGGAAGCAGGAAATAATGGCAATAGGGGTTAAGATTCTTCTTCTTTTTCCTTTTTTTTCCTTTTTCTTTTTTGGTGTTGTGTGGGGTTCAATCACGGCACAGTGCATGAAACTACGACTCTTTGAACTTATGCAAACTATGCAACTCCTCATTACTAGCCCACCCTACTATTTTAAAGAGAGATTAAAAAGGTTAATTTTTTTTTGGTATATTAAAAAGGTTAATTAAATTCTACCATAAAGCAAAAATGGATATGAGGAGCTGATTCAATTGAAAAAGAAACCCACTATGTTTGTGAAGTTTATAATTGAGTTTAACTTAAATATCGGACATGAACAGTGTAGTCAGAGGCATGCCTAAAGCGCTGGGGTGAAGGGGTCTGCACCTATTGGCGCTTCAGGAGTGCCTGCCTTTTTGGGCAATGGTTAATTAATCTCTGAAAGATCAGCCATCTGACTTGCCAACTGTGATACTAAAGTGGGTAAAATAGTCAGAATGTTAAAATAATAACTAGTTGTCGAATTTGGGACTCTTAGCAGCATTCAGCTTAGGATAAATGGAACAACATAATCTTTTATTCTTGTGATGAATGTTATGCATGTGTAGTTAATTCCTATGGAAAATAAGTGCAAAATAGTCAAATATTCTATTTTTTTCTAATGTTGATTTCTTTCTTTAGTAAGGGTGTGCTTTTTGGCGCCTCTCACCTCAAGTTGTAAATCCCTCAAGCCATTAATATATTTTACCAAAAACAAATAACCATATTTATTAAATTTAGACCTGTCATTGACTCGGTCGGGTGATTAGATCATGCCATCATGGCTGATTGGTTCAACCAGCGAGTCACTTGTCAAACCATATAAAATAAATACATAAATATTTAATTTAAATTTAAAATACATAAAAGATTAAGATATACATAAAAGATGAAGATATTTCTCTATCGTAAGTTCAAAACATAAAAAACAACTTTTCAGTCCGGGACACTTGGGATTGAACACGGTGTGGATATTGTACTCTTTCTGCTAGTGCTGGATGATGGCTCCTTCACGAACACTGTAAGTGGCCGCCAGAGAAGGTGGTGGTGCACTCAAGTTAGTTTGTGAAGAGAGTGAGTGAAGAGTATTAGATGTGTACCTGAGGGCTTGGCCCCTATATTTATAGGAGGAGCAAGGCATTAGATCCCTGTGATCTCATCGCAAGGTAATGGGACATAGGCAGTCATGACCATGTTGCCGCCCGTACTGTGGAAGACGGCTGTTATCAAATGCGGATTGCGGCATGTCATGATTATCACAGTATGGGTGTGTCATGTCCGAAATGATGGGACATAGACAGTCATGACTGAAATGATGGTCATTCGAGGAATTCTTTTCCTGTAAACAGCTAGTCACAACCGAAATGAGGAACTCCTGAAGCAAGATAATGGGACATAGGCAGTCATGACCGAAATGATGGGGTGTTAGGCTTGCTGTGCTGATTGGACGTTTTGTTTCTGGACACTGGGCCTTTGGCCCAGAACAACAACTAAACATGTTAAATTTATATTCAATAATCTAAGTTCATTGATGTTGGTTTTCTTTTTAACTTGTTAGTTTAGTATAAGGTGATGTGCATTCATGCATTAGTTGTGATTAAGAATTAAAATGGGACATGCAAGCTTGTTGATGCCTGCTCGAGTGTTTACTGCTTGTTGAGTTGAGTGAAGAGGAAGGGGAATGAGGAGAGACATGGGGAAATCAGAAATGTGTTTGGTTATGGTTTTGCAGAAACAAAAGGTTTTAGTCCTTCAGTATGTTGGGCAATTTTCTATTAGCTTTAATCATGTCACAAAATTTTAATACTCTGAATGCCCACATGACTATGATCATTATTTTGTGAATGTACTGGTACAGAAATATTTTCTATCACTTTAAATGCTCTATTTGAAATTCATTTGGCAGTGTATTGATAAGGTCTCTGAACCTGAGGGTGTTAACTGATAATGGAAGATATAGAATTTAATTGTAATTTATTTTTTCCGTGAGAGTAGAGCCCACATTGAATAAAGGTGCTTAGTTGCCTTGCTTTGCCACCACGAAAGCCCCACATCTGGTAATTTGGGGAGCACAAGCAAAGTGCTTCGCATATGAAAGAAGCTGCTTCTCCATCAAACAATTTGTGTCCCTATGGTGTCTTGCCTTGTAATTGGGTGAGAGAGCATCGAGCCAATTAGGATTAGTTAACAAAATTTCAACTAACTTGACCCATTCAGGAAAATTTGGTCAAGTCATTGAGTTTTTCAAAACCCAGATTGGTTTAACAAGTTTGCGTGCATATCCTATCTAAAAGGTAAATTGGAGCCAGTTCACTGGTATGACCGGTTGTCTAAGTTTACTAACTATGCAAGTAAAAAAGATATTGGACGTGAATTTGAAATTTGTTATATTTTTTGTTTGTTATGAGGTACTCAAAACCTCAATTTTTATTTAGAAAGGGAAATTTAATTGAAATTGAAAGAACAAACTAAAAAAAAAAATTAAATTACGGGATCTTGAAGAGGCAGAATATATGTTGTGACAATCAAAGGATCACAATTGGAAACACAAAGAAACCTAGAGTAAGCTTATTCCATATATGGCAACTCAGCTCCTGTTAACATCTGAGACTTGGCTGACTAACACAAATTTTGGCTGTTGCACATTTTAAACCAATTGTTGGAATATTTTTAAACTGTGTACCAGGATTGAGGCCTTTGATTTTATTGACATACTTGTTGCTATTTTATTACTTTTCTTTGTTAATTTTTTGTCTTCTTTGGAGGAAGTTTCAGCTTCAGTATCGCACTGTATTTGATCTGATATAATTTTGTCCTTTGTTAAGAAAAAAGAATTGATCATATTCCTTGTTTGCTGAAATTATAATTTAGTTGGTTACATCATAATATTTTCCTTATCTTTTTCTTTGGTTTGTCTGTTGGTCCTTTCAATCAATTTAAGAACAATTGAATAAGGAAAAAAGTTAGATGTCAAGAATAGTTGGAGACAGATATTTGAATACTAATGGTTTCTAATGTCTTTCACAATTTTTTTTTCTAACTTATTTTTTTTTTTGCATGAAAAGTTATATGTTATGAAGCTGTAAAAACATAGATTCTTGTGGGTAGAAAAGAGAACATAAAACTTGTGTTTTGCCATCGTTTTTGGGGGTGAGGGGAGATTAGTGGGTTGAATTGTTTGAAAAGGAAGGGGGTGGCGTTAGCATGTCTAATCCTGGATCTAGTCCTGGCTCCTTTATAGGGAGAGTTGTCTGCAACTTCTGTGTGCTTTAATGCTTTAGCTTTAATAAAAAAGGCTTTATTAGCCGTTTTAGAATCCATGGTTCCCTTTTAATTTAGCATCCATGATTCCCTTCTGGAATAGCATCTTAATCATCCATGGTTCACCCTTTTTATGTGACATTGGTATCTGGTCTTTGCACTCTTTCTCATGTTAGTAATGAACCTCAAAATTTTTGTACATACTTATTTTGATGTCCTCTGTATCCAAGTTATGATGTGGATATGTTCTACTTTTGGATCTCAGCCTGCATATGGTCTGTGAGTTATATGGACTGCAGTGCTGTTGCATTTCAGTTTTCCATTCCTGCGGATATTGTAAAACTACTTGTATTCTTGTAATATCTGAGTAATATTTAGAATAATATCACTTTTTTGGTACCTCAGATGCATCTTTTATCAATTTTAGTTATTTATTCAATCAAACATCAAATCCCCAACAATCCCATGCTTCCGTCCATTTCACCATAACTCTGTTAATGTAAAAAGCTCATAATGACACTATTTCATCCTAAACCACTGCATTTTCCGTTAACATAGTTATAATGAAATGGATGGAGGAATGATATTTTTGAGGATTTAAAGTTTGAGAATAATTTGATAAAATTAATCCTCAAGGAACTGAATTTGTTTAAGTATTTATCTGTGACTTGTGAGGGATGAAAAATGGGTTTTACAGTAATATTTATTTTGTGGCAGCTGTAACCTAACTTCTATTGGTACAGTTTAGTGCATATATTGACTATTGCTTTCTTGTGGTTATAACTGTTTTTTATGTTGAATTCTTATGTAATTTCCCTAATTTGATTTCGTCCAGCCCTGATGGACACCAATTTGAGTCGTACAAGGAAGTTTCTGAATACTTGCTCTCTTTTTTCGGAGTTCAAGATATAAGCCATTTAAAATCTAATTATACTGATGGCAGTCAGAAGTTTTCCAGTAATATCAATATGGCATCTGAAAGTGTAAGCTAATATTTATAATGTTTTATTTCTTTTTCTGTTCCAATCACAAAAGGAACATGTTTCATTTTTGTTTTTTAACACATGCAGCAGAGTGTTGGTCGTGTCCCTACAGGAGACATGAAGACTGATGCCAATAGTTCTTTGTGTTTAGCTAGTACATCTATGAACTCTCATGATGAGAAGCAGGCCACCATATCATCATCTATTGGAAGTGAGAAGCTAAACACTGCTGATGGGAATTTGAATAGTGATCTGGCTTTGGGTTTTAAATTAGGAGATACTACTAGTGGAGCCTTTGGAGACCTTGACCATCAAACTGAAGATAAACAACCATTGAATGCTGAAAGGAATGATGCAAATTCAGTTCAGGGGCATTCTCTTGCTGAGGATAGAGTTTGTAATGTAAGTAATGAGAACTTTGTTGGTGCTATTGAGGCCAGTGATGGTGCATGCAATCTATATATTCCTTTGGTTTTCACAACTCCTTTCCCGTATAATAATAGTGGTATTTGTCAATTTTCTGATGAAAGAAATGCTGTCACATGCATAAAAAGTGGCATGAGTAATTTTGCTGGTCAGGATAGAAATAATGGATGCTTTGGAACTGCTCCCTGTGGAAATGAGCAAGCACATCTTGACAACAATGGGCTTGGGATTTCTCAGAGATTTTTGGAAGAGCACATTCATAAAAAAGGGTTTGAAAGCAGCATGCCTGCTCCAAATTCTGAAGGGAAAATATTTGCGGGTAATAATTTAGAGGATAGGCATCTTATTAGCTCACTGAAGGACATGGAGATGGATGATGGAAAGCCTGTTGAGGATGAGAAACAAAAAATTATTTCTAGTAGAGATCAGTCTGAAATTAAAGATATTTCTACTAATGTTAAACTGCAGAGTAGTTCTGAAGGTTGTTCACTTGTCCCATCTCAGAATGAACTTAAATATACATCTATAAATAGTACGGACAGGACAAAGACTTCCATGCTGAAGGACTCAGCTGTGGGAACATGCATTCTCAGTGGTTCCATTAATAATGTTTCTTCAAGTGCTTGCACACAAGATGCATCTGAGTCAGGTGGAGTTGATGTTGCTCCTAATCTTAAAGTAGCTAAGGATGTTTGTGATAATCATATTCCTCCAAATGTGGAAGTTGTGACTAGCTATTTACAGGAAAGGAATTCCTCGAATGACCAAAATTGCAAAATAGACAATCTGCTGCACATAAGTTCTGAAAGTAACTTACTTACTCCAACTGGTAATCAGCACCCTTCTGCTTTTGATGATAATGTGAATAATATCTCTTTTGGAACCTTTGATGCACTCCAAGATGTTGACGCTGGTTGCAAGAAGCCTCTGATAGGCATTGTTTCTTGCAGCAATGGTGTTGCTGTAGATGCATATTCTACTGCAAGCGTTATCCAAGGAAGATCACAAGGATGTCTATCTGTTCCTCTTGGTGGAAGTGTATTAAACCAATTTGACAAGCAAAGTGATGATGGTGTTAATAAAGCAAATAAATCATACTTATCAGAGAAGGCTAAGAGTGAAGTTGAAATATTCCAGACTGACTCTATGGGTATGCCCAAATTTCAATAGCAGTCAGATAGATGCAGATGTGGTGATAGATACAGTGCATGAAACAACTTCAAATAATACATGTATGGCAGTTCTGCAGAGTGCCTCGGTAACCATAATGCTCTGCTTGTATGTTCTCAAATTCCTATCGAGGATGATAACCTAGAAAAGGTAATGATTATATTTATAGTATGGTAAAAAATTATTTTCTGCAGAAAGGCTGGTGTGTTTCTAGGGATCCGTTTATGCCTTTCTGATCAAAGTGATTTTGAAATTCATGATGAGTTGAAAGTTATTTTCTTTTAACCTAAATTTTTGGAAAATTACTCTGAAAGAAGTTTGTGCCATCACAGAACCTTGTTAACAATCTTTATATTATTGTATTTTCTAAGACTAGTTCTATAAAATGTTCCCGTAAAATATTAGGAATAAATATTTTGGACATAGATAGATTTTGTATGTTTAAAAGAACAATTGATTAAGGTTGTTTCCTGAGATAATATCTCAGTGCTTATGAGTGATTGTTGTTACAAAACCAGCCACTTGGAAGGTCTACACCTGTAGGAATATTCCTCAACAACAATAAAAGAGACATTATGAGAGTTATGGTAGCCAATAAGTCAGGAGAAGCAATGGGGCTGTTATTCATTGTCAGGCAACTAGAAATTCATAACAGTGTATCCATAAAAAAGAAAGAAAGTCATAATAGTTATGAAATTAATTTATATATAAGGAGGAACCTCTTAGAGGATAGGCAGGCAATAGTATTGTGAGTGTTTGGCTGAGAACTCATCTTAGATTTAGGGGCTTGTCCCTTGGCAAGAGTGTTTTGTAACAATTGTCGAAACATGCTTTTGCATTTTCAATCTTGTTAATAGTTTTTTGCTTATATACTTTAGTGATTCAAATATAATTCAAGTCAATTATTATGTCTTAGCGTATTGAGAACCTGAATGTAATGATCGAGCAGATATTTAAACTTGTCATAGGATTCCTGTAGCAAATCAATGGACAATAATCAAGAATTAGCCTTAATCCAAAAACTGGGGTTGCATAAATGGAGTTCATATGCAAATACTATTTTGAAAAAGTTCTACTTATGACTAACAAGTAACAAAAACTTCTTTATGATGGCTGTAAGGCGTATTTTCATTTATAATAATATTATGGTAGCTTTTTTGCTTTGATAAGTTTCTTGCGTGTAGCTTTGATTAGTTTCTTGCCTTCTCATTTTTTTTTTTATTGGGAGAACACTGAAGACAGTTAAGCCAGAGATTGGATTTTACTATCACCTAGTTTCTATGTAAATGGGAGAAACGAGTTAAAATATCTTGTGTTGAAATAGCTGTAGAAAAGTTATAGTTATTTGCAAATATCAGTTAAAGACGATTGTGCTCATGAACCTTAACTTGTGTCTTGTTCTTTTGTTAAATGCAGCAAGAAAATGTTCTGTAGAATTTTTCTTATTCTCTAGTTGCATGCTTTATCATTGCGGCTAATTACTTCTCTGGGTTTCCGATTTACTGATTTTACTTTTATTTGGGACAAGACAGACAATTGCTTGAAGGCAGTATTATTTTGTTGATAGATTCAGCAGGTCGTACTGGTGGCTTCTCCATTCCCGAGGTTATTTTGCAGTTCTGGTGTGACACTTTTCCTGCTTTTTGCCAGAACTCAGATGCCATTCTTTTTACTAAAGAAAAGTTTTCATTTAGGTCAATTTCAGTTCAAAACATTTTTTGCCATCTGGTAGACTGGTATACTGACATTGAATTTTAGGTAGGTGTAGGTCCCTCCAATGTAGAAGGAACTACTTTTCCCCCTATTTTTGAAAGAGAAAAGCCAAATTACCTGTTGATTTTCATGTTGTTATTGTTTTGGGCTTCTCTATCTGATTTTTACTGCCTGATTTACTTTTCTTTTTTTACCCTTTCTCTTGTATGCCCGCTTGAGTTTCCATCTCGCTATTACACCACAGTCAAAGTACATCCTTGCATTTAGCAGGAGGATGGTTTTAGATTTTTGACATGGGAGTTCTTGTATTTGAGCTTTATTTTATCCAACTGAAAAAGCGGAAGGGGTGATGGGAAGAATTGAGGTCCCCGTATTTTTCTTGGCAATTAGACTTGGGGGAATCAAAATAATTGATAATAGCAGAACTTTGAATTTTGTTGTGTGTCATACTTGATAACTTTAAGCGAAAACAATTGAACTTTTGTTGACTCATATATTTACACTGGAAATGTTCATGTTCAACTTCGGTTGGCATTTGTAAGTTAATATTTAGTTCTTATGCGCTGGGTTTTGGGTTGTTCAGTACTGATAAGAAGTACCGACTCGACAAAGAAAATTTAAACTATCTTATTTGAATATTATATTTATTGTAATTTAGATAGCACTTTTTTTAAAAAATAAAATAAAATCGAAATGTGCTACTTCATAGTTCATAGTTCTAGTCTTGTGAGTCAGATGACCGAAAAAAAGTCTTGTCAAGGGTTCTTTTGTTCAAAAGTCTCTCACCTTGAACCTTTCAGCTTTGAATAATTGAATTGGTGAATTTATGGATGGAAAAACTTCAAAAAACTCCTTATAAATTTTTTCAGAATTACTTACCCCCTCTTCAAAAAATTTAATCATTTATATTCCTACTTAAAATTTTTTTATCACTTATTCCTCTAACTTGATTTTTCATCCAAATTAAAGTTAACGGTGTTAGTCTTTTAAAGAAATACCAACACTACCATTTTTAAAAAAAAAGAATTAACCCCTCGACACCTTATTGCTAGCAAGAGATAACAAACTATCGTCAATGATCTACTGAAAACTACCATTCAAGTAACATGGATTTTTTTGTTATCTTGTAATTTTTTTTTCAGCCCCACTATATGTTTCACCTTTCGTTTGTCAAAGATGAACCAATTTTTAATGCTTCCATATATTAATTAAAAGACCAAAGGTGTAAATATTTTCAGCAAGTAAAAAAAATGGACAGCAAAAATATTAATTAAAGGATCAATTTCATTAACTATTATCCATAAGATAACATGTCTGGATAGCAAAAAAATGGGTTTCCAAAAAATCTGTAAAATAACAACAAGCTTCAAAAAAATCTCCTTTCAAGCATATTAATCTCAAAAAAAAATAAAAAAAATTGGACAACAACAAGCAGCTTCAAATCAATGAACCTTCATCAGGTGCTAAGGGGTATTTATATGTTTTCCTCCTCTTGTAGCCATCTATCAATATAAGCATATTATATAAGCAGCTAATCAGAAACAAAGGCAGTGGAGTGTCAGAAGATTAGGGCTCCACTTCTCAATGACTATCTCTTGCAGCGGTAAGGTACAGTGTTGTGTGTTACTTTTCTTTAAGGGTAGTTTTGGTGTTTTTTTTTTTTTAAATTAACACCGTTAACTTTGATTTGGATGGAAAATCAAGGTAGGGGGTAAGTGATAAAAAAGTTTTAAGTAAAAGTATAAATGATTAAAATTTTTGAGGAGGGAAGTAAGTGATTCTAAAGGAACTTATAGGGGAGTTTTTGAAGTTTTTCCTTTATCGATTGGATTCACATCGTCTCTTTTACACACGGTATCCTTTTTCTTTAATACATGGGTGCATATTTACATACGAGGTTTGCTATGTTAGATAAACTACTTGTTAATTTAGAACGCAAGATCGATTTCATGCTTTTTCTCATCTACTCGTTTTATATCAATGAATGAAAAAAAAAAGAATAATGTTATTTTTCAGCTTAATGGTATTATTTGTGCTTCCACAAATAAATATGAAAACTGAACTAAAAAGTTGGCTATTTTTAACGGGAAAACTAGTTGGTTATTCTTGATTGGGGTTGTATAAAATAACTCAACCGAATAGAATATTTTTTTGAAGTAATTTGGAGAATTGAACTGATTTTATAAATCAGTTTAAAATTTGAACCGAATCAAAAGAATTGACTTGGAAGAAAGCGCAGATACCCGTCATAAATCATAAATTTGTTTTTAACCATGATCGGTTTTAATTTTAAACCTGTTCCTAAGTCGTTCCGGACTGGTTAAGAAAAAATAAAATTAATTCGGATAAAATAAAAGATTTGTTTCTTTAAACCGATTCCTTTTGGTTTAATAAAATCCAGTTTAGGTCGAACTTTGCCCACCTTTAATCTCGAAATTCATATTTTCTAATATTGAAGCATTGTGTTTTTTTTTTCTTTAAATCATTTTAAGGAGAGGAGAGGGTTTCTCACTTAATTCCTACATATATTTTACAGCATTACCATTTATAATTTATTTTATTTTAATAAATACAAGGTGTTTAAAATTTTTAATTTAATTATATATTTAATTTCAATTATCTTACTTTATTTTAGATAAATTGTTATAATAATTTATTATAATTCGGTACCTATAATGTAAAAGAGATGTTAAATGGGTTCCGATTGTTTAATTTTGTATTAGGGGGTAGCATTAGAGAAGCGAATAGTTCAGAAGCGTGAATTCAATATATCATGATAAAAAAAAAAAAAAAAGGGGAAGAATAAAAGGAAAATAGAATCCAGAAATAATTAATGAATTTATTTGGAGAGAATAAAATAAAAGAGAAGTCAATGAGTGAAAACCAACCATAGTGCTAGTTCTGTTAAACACAAAGGTGATGAAGCAACTAGATAAAGGGTGTATCTCTCCCTGCATAAACTAAATGGTAATGTCATTGCCGCCACCGATTACACTCACACCCACCAACTGATACCTGTAACCTCATCACCTTCCTCTCCTTCCCAATTCCCAAACCAACCGAACCCTCTTCATATTTTTTTATTAAAAAAATCAAAAACAAAAAATACCGTCCACTGAGATTGAGGCACGTCATATCCTGTCATCTCACCCTTGTTCTCGCTCCCCTTTCAAATTCCTGCTTTGGAATTAGGGTTTCCATTTCTTTTTTTCTTTTTTTGCTCGGTTCGGTTGGTCCCAATTTTGTTGCTCCGAGGGAAAGGGAAAGGGGATGAGGATGATGATGATGATGAAGGTTTGGGGATCGGAGATCGTGTTGGCCATGTTGCTCTGTGGGACCCTTTCCTGCACCGCCCAACCGAATAGGGGTTCTCTCTCCACCGCCGTGTGTCCCACGGAGTCCGTTCTCGATTTCATATTAGGGTTTCCAGATTGGACCTGTTCCCTTCCTGATTCTCTTGGATCCATACGTCATATTGGGGTCACCGAGGTAATTTCGCTTTTCCCTTTTGTTTCTCTCTGAAGATTGTAATTTTGGGATTAGAGATTTGGTCGAATTTTGAGATGATGAATATGAGATCGATTGAATTCTCAAGTACTTGGAATTCAACTCGTCTTTTTTGTAGCTCCATGTTGAGCTGGTACACTGTTTATGTTGGTGATAGAAGATTTTCAAGTATGATTTTTATGAAAACTATGCTTTGTAATATGCAGGGAGATGAGGTTTGTTTGCAGAAGGCACTGAATATGGTTCACAAGAATGATCATGAGTATGTAGCTGTACTCTTCTATGCTTCGTGGTGCCCTTTCTCTCGGATATTCAGACCAGTTTTCTCAATCCTCTCTCACCTACATCCTTCCATTCCTCATTTTGCTATTGAAGAGTCATCCGTTAGGCCAAGGTTTGTGTTTTTCAATTTCACACCTTTTTCTTTCATTCAATGGCTTCTTTCGACTGAACGCCAATGTAATTCTTGCAGCACACTATCCAAATACGGTGTCCATGGTTTCCCTACACTGTTCATTTTGAATTCTACCATGCGCGTTCGTTATCATGGATCTCGGACCCTTGGCTCTCTCATAGGCTTCTACAGTGATGTTACTGGTAAGGCCTATTTTTACTCGCCTTACGTTGAGATTTGTGTTTTATTATCTTTTAACAGCAAATTTTACTTGAGGTTCTCATATGTAGCTCATGTAATTTCTAATAGAGTTTAAATTGATTTGAGCGCTTAATCCATTTATAAAGCTTTCAAAACATAAACACAAATACAATTACATTGAAGTCTGATTTCCAAACATGATGGCATGGAAGAAACGGATGGATTTATACAACATTAAAGGAAATATGTTGTATTTAAGGTTTGTTTGTTTGTGTTTTTTTCATAGTTGTTAAATTCGCCTCTATTGGGCGCAATTGTGCTACTGTTGCGCTTTGCGGATCCACTACAACCCGCGACGCAACGTGTTGGTTCATGGTAGCGGCTGTAGCATACGCTTCTGAGGGAAAATTGCAGTCAATTGCGCCCCTACAGAAAAGGGCTTTCAAATTCTGTTTTTGCCCTTCATATAATAGCCCAACAGTCTTTTTTTAAGGATTAAATTGTCTTTTAACCCTTATTTGTATTCTGACTCTACACAAACACTCTCTTACGTCAAACAATTCAAAGAAAAAACCCAAGACAGCAGTGGCCAGCCCTTCCACTTCAGGCCGACGGCGACTTTTCTTTTTCTTTTCTTTTTTTGTAAACTGTTCTCTCTTTTTTTTTTCTACTCTGTTTTCTACCTGTCTCTGTTTTTTTCTTAATATAGATGTGGAGTTTGAACTCTGATATGTCATGCAAGTATCAAAAGTTATACGGATTTTATTTTTTTGTTTTTCACAAAACTCTGGGTAGGCAAAACGTATTTTAACTCTCTTTCTCATTTCTTGTTTTTGGTTCTTTAGTATTTATTTTTGGTTTTCAACTGTGTCTTTTTTTTTCAAAAAAAAAAAAAAAAAAATAAACAGACTTTAATTATTATTTTGATGATGATGCTTTTTCATGAAGATGTTTTTAAATATTTTTTATTCTGTCTTTGATATCTAAGGCTTCCTTTTTCTTTAGTTTTTTATGGTGGTGTTATTTTTCTTTTTCTTTTTTATTCTTAATAATTTGTCATGTTACTTGTATTGAAGAACTGTTGTGTTACTTGTTGATGCTTTTGCCACTTTCCTTATCCTTGTTTTAATAGCATGCTTTGATTTTTTTATTAATAGAAACAGAATATGTGTGGTATATCAAGCTTTTATTGATCTATTCCGCTATTTACGCAACTGCATCCCGCTATAGCGCTATAGCTTTTTCAGGGTTGGCTGCAACAGGCCGTAATTTGCATTTGATAACTTTGGTTTTTTTTTTTTTTGGTTCTTTATAGAAAAAACACCTTTTTGATCAGAAAACATGTTTAAGAAATTTGATAATAATTACATAAGTTTTTTTGAAAAAGAAGAAGCAAAAACCTCATAAAAAGCTTATGTAGTGCTTTTATAGAAGCTAGTAATAGTAGCTTCATAGAAGCTTTTATTTCAAAGCTTATCTAAATGCACCCTAAATTATTTGGTTCATCTGAAGGATTTGTCTCTGGTTTTTCTATAGGATTCATTTTCTTCTAAATAACTTGGTGATTTGTTAAGTTAAATTTTAGTATTTCATCATTGACATGCTTTGGATGTGCCTTAGTTATCCTGTATCGTAATCAAGTGATTACTGTCTTTTACACGACAAAGGGGTAATAGTTGGGGCCTGGGAGGATAAAAAAGGTTGGGTGCTGTCCGTGGGACAATTTGTTGTGTCTTGAATGCATTTGCACGTCATGCTATCCTTATTTTCCTGTATTTAGTTCATCATTTGGTTTTCATTGTAGGGATTAGGATTGATTCACTTGATCAACTATCCCTTGAGAAAATTGGGCGTCCATCAGCTAATGAGAATCATGGTAACACTGAGCCAGAAAGTTGTCCATTTTCATGGGCTAGATCTCCAGAAAATTTACTGCGTCAGGAGACTTATTTGGCTCTGGCCACTACATTTGTGGTTTTGAGACTACTCTACTTATTTTTTCCTACACTGCTTATATGTATTCAATGTGCTTGGAGAAGGGTCATCCAAAATTTTAGATTAGGGAGCTTGTTGGAGCATCCTTTGGTTTATTTGAAGCGAATAATACAATCATTTAACTGTCTCAAAGTGCCATGCAAGAGAAGTAATCTGCAGGAAGGAGCAATGAATGCTAAAGCATGGGCTTCCAAGTCCCTTGCCACAGTTTCAATTGGGGAGGAAAGCACCAGCCGTGGGATGCACCAGTAAGTTGACTGTACCAATCAGTTTTCCCTCGTGAAATTGGAGATTTGGATATACCCTATGAAAGGCTTGGCTGCAAGTTACGCCATGTACTTTTGTGTCAGGATTATCTTCACACCCTTGAGCCTCATGCTTAGTGAGGTCAGTTATTGTACTGAATGATGTAATCGTCCCTTATTTGCCCATATGATCAAGAAATACTTCATTCAGCATTCCATGTGTATAGTTTAAATGTAGCAAACTCGAGCTGAAATCTGTAATTCTTTGACTTGTAGGTTTACTTGAAGGTTAAATCTTTGATCATCCGTTCATAAAATTTATTTTTGTTGGGAATGAAATGATTGTAAATCGTGCTTAGCACTGATTGGATGCCATGTTCATGTACTTGATGCGTGGTTATTTGTAAAAGTTCAAAAATAATAAGATGGTAATATGATTAAAGTATTATATAGAAGTATTTTATATCAAAAGCTAGAGTATTCTGTGGATTCTTTCTTTAGGAGAGATTATTGATTTTCCTTTTCTTCAGAAATCCCGGTTTGTAACGGTGAGTTCCGTTGCTTGTGCTGGTGTGAAAATTTGATCTTTCTAAATTCTAAACATTATGATAAGAGGTCTTTGCACCCTTTTTTTTATTGGTTGGGATGAAAAGAAAGTCTCTGCACTAAATGTGCTTTAGAAAGACTGGGATGACACCGTTAAAACAAAATTAATTGGATGCCTTGACCACACAAGGTTGACTTATTTGCCTTTACATGCTTAAATGTGAAGGCATCCTGATGAAATTAAACTAGTTGCAATTATTATTATTTTTAATGTGTATTGCTTTCTTAGTTTTATCTGCTTTTGTTGCAGAATTTTTTTTTGCCATATTCACGTAAAAGTGAGTGAGTTTTATTAATTTTTTTTTCTCTTTACAATGAGACTCACTCACTTTTACATGAGTGTGACAAAAAAAAAATTCGCAACAAAAACAAATATTTTCACCATAATAATAACTGTTATTTTTTAGGTAACTTTTCATTCCGAAATTAATATTAGTAATTCTTCAAAATCAACCATTATATAGTGCGATGTGTGGAATTTTTTAACTGTAGAGGAATTAAGCTTATGAGTCATACTATAAAGTTGTGGGACAGAGTTATTGAACATCGTTTGCAGAAGGAGATTAATGTTTCTATAAATCAAATTGGGTTTATGCAAGAATGATGTACCATGGATGCCATTTTTTTGATACGACAGTTAATGTAAAGTTATAGAGAAAAGAAGAAGGATTATGGTGTTTATAAATTTTGAGAAGCGTATGATAGGGTTTCGAGAAAGGTTCTATTATGGGTTCTTGAGAAGAAAAGAATATCATAAATGATATGTATGATGGTATTACTCTAGGTTGTCAGTACCGACCCGTAACGCCACTAAATCGCTACAGTAGCGGCATGTTCATTTGATGCAATGCGATGCTGCCCGCTGTTTGACATTGATTGTGGAATTATGTGTTTGAATTTGTGCAATTCATTGTTCATTTGTGTTTAATTGTGAATCTTTCATTTATGTTCCTTGTATTTGACATCGATTGTGGAATTATGTTTTTGATTTTGTTTGACTTCTTATGTTTGAGCATTTATATTTGTGTAGTATTAGGTTGTTAGTATAATATATGTGGAATTAATACTTCACCGTAGCGGCAATACCACTACCCGCTACATCGCTACACATTTTCGGGATCGACCGCTAACTACTATTGACAAGTATGATAATACTACATGTATGAAAGTTTTTAATAGAACATTAAGTTATTTTTCTATCACAGTAAGTGTACACCAAGGCTCTGCTTTGAGTCTTTATCTCTTTGGTCTAGTTATGGATGAACTAACAAAAGATATTTAAGAGGAAGTGTCATGGTGTATGCTTTTTGCTAATGATATTGTGTTTATTGATAAGACCAAGGCTAGTGTATACAGAAAAACTAGGATTGTGGAGAAGCACATTGGATTCTAAAGGTTTTACACTGAGTCGAAGCAAGACAGATTATATAATGTGAGTTTGCATCGACAAGAGATAAAGATCTAGACTCTGTGTATCTATTTGGGCAAGAGGTACTCAAGAAAGATGCTCTCAGATATTTGGGATCTATTTTGCAAAAAGATGGACAAATTGATGTGGATGTGAATCACAGAATCAGAGCAAGATGGATGAAATGACGTAGTGTATAAAGGTTTTTGTGTGACCAGAAGATTTTCCTTAGGCTAATAAGAAAATTCTATAGAACAGTAGTAAGGCCTACAATGTTATATAGAGCATATTGTTGGCCAGCTCATAAGCAACATGAGCATAAAATGAGAGTAGCGAAAATGAGGATGTTAAGATGGATGTGTGGTCAATAAGATAAGAAATTAAAATATTTGAAAAAGAGTAAGAGTAGCACCGGAGGTTGAAAATATGAGAGAGAGCATATATTGAGGTGTTTTGGGCAAATAATGCAAAGACCCTAGATGCTCCCCCAAGAACAAAAGTGTGTTACCAAGAACTCGATACAAAGAGGGGAAGAGACCAGCTGAAAATTAGTCGAGGGAAGGTAGTAAATCAAGACTTAATGGAGTGGGATATAGATTGCAGGACGATGTGTCATAAAACTAATTGAGGGAAAAAAGATATTAGCATTGTCGAGGGTTAGACTCGTTTTTACTTTCTATGTTACATATGGTCTCTTTTTAGTCATTTTCCCTTATTTCTCTCTTTATTTCTTCCTTTACCACTCCTTTCTTTCATTTCACTTTTTCCCATCTCTATCTTTCTTCTCTTATTAATTTATTTATTTTCTTCTTTTTCTTTATTTTTACCCCTTTATTTCTTAAAAAAAAAATTGTTTTCTAATATATCTTTACTTTTACTTTCCTATTTTTTCTCTCTCTCTTATGTATCTTTATTTTCATATAAATTTTTTTATCTTTATTAAAATTGTGGAGAAGCACGTTGGAGTCTAAAGATTTTACACTAAGCCGAAGCAAGACTGAGCAAATGAAGTCTGAGTTTGCGCCAGTGAGAAATGAAGATTAAGATTTTGTGTATCTACTTGGACAAGAGGTACTTAAGAAATATGCTCTTGGATATTTGGGATCTATTTTGCAAAAGGGTGGAGAGATTGATGAGGATGTGAATCACAAAATCAGAGCAGGATGAATGAAATGATGCAGTGCATCAGGATTTTTATGCGACCATAAAATTTCCCTTAGGCTAAAAGGAAAATTCTATACAATAGTAATAAGGCCTGTAAGTTGTATGGAGATGAATGTTGGCTAGCTCGTAGGCAACATGAATGTAAAATGGGAGTAGTAGCAAAAATGAGGATGTTAAGGTGGACATGTGATTATACAAGGATGAATAATATAAGAAAATGAAGATATTCAAAAAAGGTTGGAGTAGTACTGGTGGTTGAAAATGAGAGAGCATAAATTGAGATGGTTTAGGCACATAATGCGAAGACCCCAAGATGCTATCGTAAGAACGAAAATGTGTTACCAAGAACTCGATACAAAGAAGGAAGAGGACGACCGAAACTTGGGGAAATGTAGTAAAACAAGACTTAATAAAGTGAGATATAAATTGACAGACGATGTGTCTTAGGATGGATTGGAGGAAAGATATTATTAGCATTATGGAGGGTTAGACTCGTTTTGACTTCCTATATTCCAAATGATCCATTTTTAGTCATTTTTTCCAATTTCTCCTTTTATTTCTTCCTTTACCACTCCTTTCTTTCAATTTCACTTTTTCCCCTCTCTTTCTTTTCTTATTAATTAATTTATTTTTTTCTTTTTCTTTATTTTTGTCCCTCTATTTCTTTAAAAAAAAAATTTTGTATGTATCTTTACTTTTACTGCCCTATTTTTTTCCTTTTTATCTTATATATCTTTATTTTTACTTTATTTTATCTTATTCTTCTTCGGAATTGTTTATTGTTATATATTAATTTCTAATGTTATTTCTCAAATTTTTTCATAAATATTAATTTCTAATGTTATTTCTCAATTTTTTCATAAATTCATTTAGGTTCATCTGTCACCGACCCCCACTAGTTTCAGATAAAGATGATGTTGATGTTGAACTTTTATATGGTGTGATAAATATTTTTTAAGCACTAAGCTCGTATTCCTGCCTCACCAAAGTATATTACAAAAAAGGGTTTAATATTTCGCAGTTACTGCAGAAAAGGTTGCCTCCCACTCTCACAAAATAAAAAATGGGTCCCACAAATATAGAATTTATTTCAAAAGTTACATTACGTATTTTCGGAGTACATCGTGTGTGGCAAATAAACATTTCTGTAGCAAGTGCAAAAATGTTTTTACGTTTCAAAAATTACTAAAGCCTTTACCAAAGCTTGTAAAATTACTATATAATTCCAGAAAGGCTTATTTTTTGTAACGATATTTACCAAAGCCTTTGAAATATTCATGTCCCGTAGTAATAATCTCAGATTTTTGGGTTCATTGTGTTTATGATTTGTGGGTTACAGCTCCTCTCATGTAACTCTCATTCAATGAAATGTCCTTCAGTCAGGTCGAAAAATATAAACAAGAAATTGTGCTACAGTTTCATTCTGCTCTGAGAGTCAAAGATGCTTTTGATCATTTCATTTGTGTGTAAAAAATATTCTTACTGTACCAAAAGCTTGTGTGGAAAAGTTCTGAAAGTCCCAACTTGGGTATCTCCTCCAATTTGGAAAATGGAACCAAATAAAAGAGGGTCCTTACCTATCAAATAACGCGGTATACAATCGTGGATAGGACCAATCTCGGTCCAAACACTATCTATACTCCAATCAATAACACAAGCATATTCTCTTTTACACAGCCGCCTGGTCTCTTGTGAAGAATAAAAAGACAACAATATACAGCAGATTCTGTGTTGTTACACTTGACAGAAAGAAATCAAATATTCTCAAACAACAAAATCTATTCAAGAAAGCAATTTTACAGCTTGACAAACCCTTCTTTTCTTCGGTAAATTTACCTATTCAGAAGAATTCAGTCAGATTAACCCAAACAAGTATGTATTATATGTTGTATGTTTCAATCCATAAGTTGGCATGCTCTATAGAGATATACCCTTATTGTTGCTATAAACTGCACCCATCAAGACACATGATTTAAAAGATATCATCACCTGAATTGAACCACAATGCAAGATATATCATCTTTACTGTCTCTTTTTAATGCTTCAGCCGTTAGTTGCTTAGCTGCTTTCTGTGGATCTCTCATTCTTGTAGCAACATCCACTGCCTCTTGATTAGCCATTACCTGGTTTACCACATGCAAAGGGAATTTTTCTTTTCTTTTTAAATTAGCCAAAAAGCAAGATCCATGAAAACAACAATACACTTTATTTCACCTTCCAAAGTCCATCACTTGCAAGGATAAGAATATCAGTATCAACATCTATATCAGTATTCTGTACATCAGGGTCTGACCGCAAATGTGACTTGAGGCTCTTGTCTCCAAATGCACGAGAAACAGCAAGTTGCCCATTTACTCTAGGCACATCACCTTGCAGCATCATCATTAATGTTACTGTAAGTATCTATACAATACCAATTTTATCCTGTCGTAAAAATGATCTCACTAATACCACGAGCATGCAATAATCGTTATATTACTATACAAACGAGATGTGTCAGTTGTTTCATCACTAGTTAAACAAATGTGATTTCACACTCTGTAAAAACAACCCAAGTTCATCATTATTGTTGCAACTCTTTGATATTAGCATATGAATAAAGTTAAGCTCCATTAATAAAAATAACATGATTTTTTTTTAAACATAGGGTTTCAGTAAAATAAAGAAAAGGAAATTTTCTACTGGACCTTAATTTTATGGATTGTTGAAAAAATTATAATCAACTACTTTTCGTTTGGATACTTCAGGAATTACTCCCATACCCCTCTCCCTGCCCCCTAAAAAGAAAAGTAGATCACAAACATGGTACACACTTTAAGTTAAAAACAAAACCAAAATCAAAACTTTTCAAAGAAAACACAATCGCAAAGAAGTATGCAATGTATTAAATAATAAAGGGCAAACCCTAGTTCATTGGGTGAGCCTTCCCCTTATATTTTTGCAAATAAATCATTTCCTAGACTCGAATCCATGACTTTTCAGTTATTAAAGAGTAACTTTACCATTGCTGCAAAGTTTGCCATCCAATGTATTAAACAATATTAGATGAAATTTCCACATGTGAATTTAGTTATGATTTATAAAACAAGGCACATGAATTCATTTACTTTCAAATTCATTCAATGGCAGATTAAATGACTAAACTTTGGAAGAGCATCACAACTAACAAAAGAATATTCCTTGTGCAAGAAACAGATGCATCATTAATATGATTTGTCTTATTTGACCTCGAAACAGAATAGATTCCAGATGCTTCAATATAGAATTATAGCATTGAAATTTACGTAAGCAATTTGAACATATTCTCTTTCCACCAAATGGTAGCTACAGATTAAACAAAATGAGGAGATCCATAAAAGAAATTAGAACCTGAAGGCACACAAACTCCATAAATTGGAATCGTGGAAGCTTTAAAGTACCTGGTAAGTTGGAGACAAAACCACCTTTAGTCTCAATGCTGCCTCGTTCTGTGTTGGGCTCATGATCTGTAGTCATTTGAACTGCTTGGCCTTTTCTTGAAAGAACAGCTCGTGAGTCTCCAACATTAGCTACCCATAACCTTCGGCCATTGATCAATATTGCAGTTACAGCCGTTGATCCACCACGCCCCAAATCAGAACTATTAGATAGAATTGCCTGATCTGTGCTCTCATATGCTTTTGAGATAGAAAGAGTGGGGTCATCCCAAAATTCCTCCTGAATTATTAAATGAAGAAGTACAAGAATGTAACATTTCCAATCTGAATTTTGATCAAACTAGCATAGAACATGTATAATTATTTTTTACAACTCTTAAGAGTAACAACCCACCTCCCTTAAAATGTTGGTAAACAAATGTTTCTGTAAGTAGGCAGGTACACGGTCTCCCAGGTGACCATCATAAATAGCAAATAAACCCAATTCTTTATCCTGTATCTGCACAAACTTGGCAACATGATAATCCTCCATTGGATGATTAGCTCTCCCTTTCACTAGGCTGAAACCATACTTTATTGAGCCTTCATGACATTTCCCCTTACCAGTGCTGGATGAAGAACGTGATCCTACAAGCTGTAAAATCAACCAAAATAGAGAAATAGAATAGTCCTTCCAGTTAAAGGGACATATAGAAGCCAGCAAAAGCATTTGATTGCTCAACAAAGCCACATTTATTTCCTTAACAATGCCCTATCAAACAAACAACCTTGCAGAGTTCTAGGAGCCATCTACTAAATGGTCATGGATGCCTAAAAGCTAAACGTTTTATTTGATTAATGTAAACCTAAAGTTACAGGCTTGCAAAATACAAACTTCGTGGCTTAGGTTGATTGTCTTCTAGTAATTATTAAAACAGTTTATTTCCCGGTCCCCCTTGAGACAGATTTCTAAATCCCAGTAAACATGAGGATTCAGACAAAACAAGCATTCTATAACAAATTAAAATATTAACCAAGCAAGTGTAATGCATTAAAATTCTAGATTTAGACAGGATACAGTCACAGGAAGAGAGAACCATGCCCCCTTCCAAAGATAACAATAATGGAGTCCAAGATAAATTATAAGGTGTATTATTGATGATTCCATACCACTCAAACTTGGTAATTTATCGAGATATGAATCCCAGAAACAGAGTTCGAGTTTTCCCCCAAAGCCAGTGATCAATAACAAATGAGAATATAGACACATAAATTCAAGTCAATCATGCAAAGAGTCGCCACAGAAAATTGAAATATCTATCAAACTTAATAGACAGTAGATAATATTTCGTGTAAAATCATCAGATAAAAGAGACATCTAGGGGATATGTTTCAATCTTACCTGAGAGTAGGAAGACTTAAAACAGCATAGCTTATCCATGAAGATAGAAAAGCACCTTGTTCAATGTTTTCAAATAATTCTCAGCATAGACCACTTGGCTGGCACCTTGAATTCAAATTTGGAAAGAAACCCACTTCCGGAAATCACAGGCTTTGTCTGTGTGATCGAAAACTGAAAGCCAATTGTCAAAAACAGGATTTTCAAAAACAACCCCAAAACCCCAGAAAGAACTTATAAGCCAGAATGACACAAGAAAAAGCCTAAAGCGAGGTGTGAAATGAATCTCAGCTCACCGGTCCAATCAAAATTCAGAAGGGGTTCAACTTGGACAGTTCATGCTCTTTCCCTTCCTCTTTTATGCTTCCCAATTCGCGGAAGCTATATTACATAAGCAAATGATGATAAAGGACCAAAGAAAAACGATAGAGCGATAACATTTTGTAAAAAAAGAAAAAACAACAAAAGTGATAATTACAAAGATTGTGTGAGACAGAAAGGAATCGTAGGATGCTTATGTTTCTCTGTTATGATATTATTATGTAACCGTTTCGGGAACCTTAAGCTTCACAAAGACAGAAAAAAAAAAAATTTATTTCTGCCATATGAAGGAAAAAGAGTGCCCACAAAGCATATCAACGACTTCTTTCCTGTTGACTTTCTAGTTTTCTACTGTTTCTCTGGCTCTTTTAAATTTTTTATTATTATTTTTTTAGATTTTAACTTTTCCTTTTTTTATTTATATTTTTCTTGACTTTTTTTTATCTTTTCCAACTTTTTTAATCTTTTATTTTTAAAGAGAACAATCAATGTATATTTATTTTTAAAAAATTAAAAATTCATTATAAATCTATATTAATAAAAATATCTTTGAAGTATTATTTGTTTTACATATTTATAATTTTTTTTTAATTTTAAACGCACAAGTTCTAATAATAAAAATATTTGAATAAATTTTGGTGAAACAATTTTGTATAGAGTTGATCTTTGATTAATAAAATTCCTTTCTCATCCCCTTTACTTCGCCACACCTAAGGTTCCTTGTGTGTTTTTCCAGTACCCACCTCTATGGTTGGTTTCCCTTAAACAAAAAATATATTTAAATAATATTATAATTTTATTTAATTGATGTATATTTTACTAATCACATAGTTTATTTTATTTTATTTATGTTAATAATATTAATATAAAATGCACTAAATTTTTTATAGTTATTATATAAGAAAATATGGTAAATAGAGATTTTGATTAACATGTGATGAAATTAATACTATCAAAATGTAATTAAAATTGAGTTAAAAATTATTTTGTAAAATAATAAAAAATGAATAATTTTTGCATTCTAAAATATTTTAATTAACATGTAGATAAAAATAAATGACCTTTTGTTTTCTCGGACACAACGCTAAGATTGAGATATCATTTCACTCTAATGATAGCTGGCAACCCATTTCGTCTCTGTTTGTGAAATTAAACAAAGATGAGACCTCAAAGGGTCAATCGGCTTTAGCAACTTGTGGCAATCTTCTGTGTGACCCAAAGGGTGCTTGGCTAAAGGGGTTTGTTTTAAGATTAGGCCATTTCTCTGCTTTACAGGCGGAATTGAAAGGGTTGGAAGGAGACGGAATGGAGAAATATTTTAGTTTATTGTATTGTTTTTTAAGGGAGGCAATGAAGTTTATGAGTCTCACTCACCTGATGACTCGAATATGAGCATTTTTGGGTCACCAATTGAATATTTGGTTTATGCATATTCTCAGATAAAAGTAACTAGTGTGCAAATTGGTTAGCAAATTATTTGTTGATGTATTTGGAGTTACCTGATAAGAGTCACTTTTCTGATTCTCCCCTAGAGATCTGATGTCATGTACAGATTGATTGGAGGGAATAAATAATCTTTGGTATTACTGCTGTACCAAAGATTCAGGACATTTCATCAATGAAAATATTACATGTTAGCTAAAATTCTATTTTTTCTGTCAGATTTTTTCTCTCTCCTCTAATATGTAATGGTCTCGTTGATGATATGCACTGAATCTAGGTACAGCAGTAGTACCAAAAATTTATTCGATTGGAGGGGTGTGGTGTTCGCTACCCCAGATCCGCTAAGAGCTTTATTTTTCTACTCATTTTTGTTTTTTTTTTTTTTTGGTTTAGGTGTTGGAATACTCATTTTTGTTTTTCTATTTTCCTGTTTTTTATTTCATAAAAATGCCATTCTTATTTAAATTATGTATATTAAATTAAAAAGTGCATCTAAATATTATTGTAAATAAAAAAGTATAACTATTAAATTTAAATATAAATATTTTTATTATAAGTGTGTTTAACACTTTTATCCAAACAGTTTTTTTAAAAATATTTTAACTATAATATTTTCTCAAGGCAGAATAAATTAATTGAAACATGGACTAAATATTTATCTGTTAAACAAAAAATAAATAATAATAGATATTTGATTTAATACATATTTGGTTGGGATTATTTTTGGGAAAGTAATTTTTTTTCTTAAGTTCTATCAGGTAATTACCAAAAAGAGAAATATTTTTTCAAAATAAACCAATCAAAACACGTATGTAAACACATTGCACTGTAGGATTACTAGTTATAAAATGGGTTTCTATTTTCTCATATATGTCACCTGAGATAATATCTCTTATGCTATAGACACAACAAGTGGTAGGTCTCACCACTTGTTAAAAAAATAAAAAATAAAAGAAGATAGCACGAATTTCGATACCTCACAACATGAGAAAACAATCTCCAACAACATGAGAAAATGATTTCCCTTATAAAACATCATTCTTATCAAATGATAGTAGCTCAGTTGACTCATGAGAGTTGAGCAGGTAGAGATATCTCTGTACTATCATTTTTGGGAGGTGTTTAAAACCTTAATCTTAGATCCACTTTACACAGTATTGTCTCTTATGCAGTGGCTGACTAAGAAAAAAAATTTATGTGTGCATATTTAGTTCGAATATTTAGTGGAGGGGATTGGGGGGCAGCGCCCCTGAAAAAAATATAAACAAAAAGAGATTTATATCCCTCATGTTACATGAATCAAATTTTTTTTGTCATGTTAAGAAAAAGATAAGACCAATTCATTAAATAATGTGTCATCTCATTTTTTTTAATATTATATAACTTGTCTTTTTTATTTTAACATTATAAAAAGTTTCTTTAATATAATATGAGAGATATAATCCTTAAACAAAAAAACACTTCGACTTAACATAAAAAAATAGTAATCAACTTAATGATATAAAACCACTAAAACATAAACAGTAAATAAAAGATGTGTTTCTTTCTTAATACATGTGCTTGTATTCCTGATAATGCAGGCATTAAATTATTTTATGAGTGACATTCCTAATTAATTAAAAAATATATCTTTTTTTTACTAAAAAAATATCTTTTTTTTTACTAAAAAAATATATGACTAAATTTATATATGCACTTGTACACATTAGCACCTAAATAGGTCTCTCGTAGAGGATACGTGGTTTATCAAAAAAAAAAAATATATATCTTCTTCGTTTACTTCTTTAGGTACGTGTCACTAGAATCCAAACTAATTTTTAACAGAATTGTAGAGTGGTTGCTGGTAATTTCTGATTATAATATCTAGGACTCTTATTTTATAAAGGCAAAAATACATTATAACGCAATACAACGCAATTTCACGTTACTATAAGTGATTTGCGAACTGAGTTCCTCATTTGGGAGTTGTTGCGAGTGTTTGGCATATTTAGTGCCTTAATTGCAATGAAGTTTGTAGTACCAGGCCATTGACCTTCTATTAGTTCACAAATCATAATCAGTATTAATGGAAGTTTAATTGAAAATGACCCAATTTTCCTAATCCTTCATCAAGTGTTTGAAAGTTTTCGCTGATTGCAGCCATCAAACTATAGGATCATTGACCAACGAATTGAATTGGTCCAAAATTTGACCATCTGATTATTATAACTTTCCACTCAATATACACAACGTAGTAAGTAGGGTGCATCCATGATAAATTATACCAGTCAAGATTTAAATGATTTTTTTTATTTTAAATATTAAATATATCATTATCATACTTTTTTTGGTGGGTAATCGTGATCGTACATTTATTAAAGTTGAACATAGTATTATTGTATTTCATACATTGCAATTATGGTTGAGTTAATGGTAAATTCTTTAACAAAAATAGAAAATAATTTTGTACTATATATATATGATCGCTAAATTCTCGAACCCCCGTCTTAAATTATTTAATATACTGTATATCCATCTAAGTTTATATAAAAAAAAATTCTTTTTCATTATTGTAAATTTAGTGAAGCTTTTTTTTTTTAATTTATTTTCAGTTTCTTACTTTAAAAATAAAAATAATGTTTTAAACTATCAACCTATAGAATACAAACTTAATTATTATTGGAGAGACGTCTATATATATAGACGAACAAATATAAACTAAGTAACTAACAAATTAAAAGATAGAAACAGAAATTGTTTATATAATTCAAATATTATCTTATCTTTATCTTTATCTTTAATTCTCATCCCTAATATTCTTTCTCAAGTTGGAGCATGGAGGTTACGAATGCTCAACTTGTAAGCTAGAAAGACTAAAAAAAAAAAATCGTACTCAATAATATTTTACTAAATAATGCTTACAAAACATTGCTAAAAAGACAGCTCAAGAATACCTCAGACATTGAAGAGATAAACATTGTTGGAAAATTACCTTAGTAAAATGGTTGGAACGACTATCAGCTTGAAAAACTAGTTGACATATTACTGGACCAAATAAGAAGACTTTGCTAGAATAACATCAACAAAAATGTCCTTTGCTGGAACAACCATCCACAATAATGTCATGAGTAGCTGATATAGGAAACAACTAAAACTTCTACTCTAAATTCGTCAAGAACGACACTTGGAAACTTATAAAGTAGGCAACAACATGAAAAAATCTTACATACATCCGATGTATGGTACATCTGTCCAAGAAAAGAAAATTTTTGGGGACTTACATCGGAATAAAAATAAAGAAAAGGAGTAGAATGGAAAGAATTTTTCCAAAATTGGAAAAAATGAGTACCCAATAGCATACTACGGTTGTACTGAAGTTTTTCTCCAACAACAGGGACAAATGGGCTATACTGAAAGAGGGAAAATTAAAGGAGTTGCTAGAAAACAATTGGGATGTCAGGAATTGGAAAATGATGGCATAGAGCTCCCAACTTTAGGGAACTCCGTAACAGAAAAATATCAGAAATGTCACGGAAAATGATATCACTCTAATATCATATTGGAAATTCTATGAAATCAAAATTGTTTTCATTATTAAAGATGCGTCAATATATAGACAAACAAATATAACTATGTAACTAACAAATAAAAAAATATAAACATAAGTTTGTTAGAGAATAATATAAATTATTAAAAAGACCATCATTCCTTAAGGTTTTGAGTTGTAGTGGTTCTTTACATGCTATCAGAGCTCAATCCTTACCGCCCCCACTTTCTAGTAGAATTAAAATAAAACACAAGGTAAATCAAAAAAAAAAATT